TCTAAGGTCAATCTGGTACACAAACAAGACCGGATATCTTCGATGATGGTTGTCTCTGTGAGCAACCGTTTAAGAAGGTTAAAGCCTTCACGGATGTGGGCAATATCGAGTCCATGTCCAAGGAGCGATGGGGTGCTGCGAAGTGGGTTCGCGGGCAAGCGCGGATTTACTGCTCAAACGATTTCGACATCAAAACAGAGCCACCCCTCAACCAACCTCTTCTGGACATCGAGAAAGGCATCCCCACCTATGTGTCGCACTCCGACTTCATGAAGATGCTGGAAAGTGCGTGGTGCTCCAAGGACTGCAACGATGCCAATATCATGGCTGTTCTGAAGCGCACGCATATCTTTGTCAACACTGCCAAATGTCTCTACATCCGACCTGCCAGTGAAACAGAAGGCCCTGTGCTCCGGATTCCCCTAGGTGANNAAGATTGACTTCCTCCACGTGGACTCACGCAAGGTCTACGACTACCATCGCAAGGGCGGGCAGGACGTGCCACAGGACTGCGAGATGAAAGTGAACTGGGAAAGGGACTGGGTTGCGAAAGCTATGGGAGGTGAAGTTAACTTACCAACACGTGCCACAATCATCCGTCGCGGGGGTCTTTTCCAAAGTGCTCCTTCCGAGTCTGCTGACTCTACCGTCAAGCAAGACCATCGTCGTGTCAAGGAGCTCTTGGAGAAAAACTTCGACATTGACATCCATGCCGCAATCGCTGTCACCAACGTCAAGGATGAAATGCCGACCAAGCGAGAGCTGGAGATTTCTGCGCGGGATACTTTCAATAGCATCTGGGTTGATTCGAGATGTGCTGTTTACTTTGTTTGCGTAGTTTTTCAAGTTCATACGAGTTAGAGAGACAGACGGCAATGATGTTATTGATTATTTTTAGTTAACTTGTTTCTGAAAACTTTCTATCCATGCATACTCAGGTAAGATGCGTCGTCTCGCATCCGACTTAGCTGGCAAAGCTATCCAAGTGGATGACTCCCCCAGAGCAGCCAACGAACCCGCCATCAAGGATGACCCCCCCGAGGCAGCCAAGGAACCCGCCATCAAGAAGGAAATCGTTTCGGCCTTCTCTCGCTCTTTGTCTTCCACCGATGTCATCATCAATCTTGTGCAGTCTCCTGAAAAAAGGCCTCCAATGCCTGCGGCTTCCTCAGCTATCAAACCCAGTCAGGACGACCATCTGGAACGGGATCTTGAAGTGTTGCTGGAGGCAGAGCTTGCAAAGGAGGTAACCAACAACACTGATGATCATGGTGCAGCGGCTCCGGATTCCATGGACTGCTGCACAGACGATGAGAACTTCATCGACACTCACATGGACGTCGTAAACGACGGGAGCTAAAGGTTTCACTGTCAACAAGTGTTTCGTGATAGTATAAGTCTCACACATTTTGCTCTCGTGTGGACTATGACATGCCCCTCTGCATGTAGGCGTATGAACAGTACACTCCTTTAAAATCTCAGATAAATTCGACACCAGCTTCTAGGCGGCAATAATGTTTCGTTGGCAAGCACAGCTGAGTGATGGCAACTGTCCGTCTCTGCGCGTCTGTAGCGAAAACCAAATTTGTCCGAAAGTTTCCCCATGTCTGCTTGCGAGAAACATGCTGTCAGTGCACATACTAACATGCAATTCCTGAACGAAGGTTTGTGGCTCGTTGTCAAGCTTGTAGTTAGTTCTCGTCGTCATTACCCGAAGCTCTGCCACCATGGGCAAACCCAATGGCAACTTTGTTCCGAAGAAGGGCAAGTTGCGCAAGGTGATGAAGAAGCCCGCGGCATCCAAGGACACTACGTGGAAATCCGTCAAATATGTCAGGGAGGCGACCGAAATCACATCACGCGGACAACGTAAAGATCAAATCAAATGGAAGCGAACCCTACCTGAGCTACTCAAGGCAGATGACAACACCATCATCAAGCTGCTCATTGCGGACAAGATCCTACCACGATTGGAAGGAAAAACATGTCCTAGATGTTCCGAGGGAGTACTTTCCAAATTGTATGCAGAGAAGCGTAACAACGTCCTAAAGCACAGATGCAACAACAAGCACTGTCAGGCCCGACTCAACCCTCATCACTTGCATCCGCTTTTCACGGAGGGGCAAGGACCGCAGAAGCAGAGCCTGCAGATGCAGTCGGCGGTTCTTCTCTTGAAGCTCCTCAATGTCCCACAATCCGTCATTCACCTCGCCATGGGTACGAACCACAAGGCGTTGGAGGACTTGGAGACTGGTTGCTTCTAGTGGTCATGCTTTTTATTTGTTGTTCGTTCTCTTTATGTTTAAGGCTTGTAACATTGAAATATGTTCTACCATAACATAAGAGTCTTACAACCACGTTCATCGTTAGTCTCATCATAAACTGCCTTTGCCCACTTAGGACAAGAGACTTTGCAAGCTTCGGAAAGACGTCGTTGAAAAGGAGGAGAAGAACATCGTTTTTGGCAACCAAAAAACGTGGGTGGACATTGAGGCCGACGAGGCGACTTTCGACAAGAGGGACATCTCCCAGGATCCTGCCTTGCAACACTTGGTCGTCAAAAAGAACGAAACCATCATGTGGGAGCAGTGGGGGGGTGTCATTCAGCGTGGCCGTCCTCGTACGTTGGTCCTGCGGAAGTTGGTCCCCAAGCTTACGGTCAAAAGGGCACCAGGGCCAGGTGCCATCCGTAAAACAGAGTGGAGCAGCATCGCGAACGAGCTTCTCTTGGATCGCAAGGTCATCCTTCACACCGACTCAGCGAAAAGTTACAAAACGAAAGTTCGGGGAGTTTTGCACGACAAAGTGGTCCATTGCAAGAAGCGGGTCAAGGTGAATGGCAAGTTCAAGTGGTTGAACCCCAAATATGTCGGCGTGGTGACCCACAAGATCCCTGGTACTCAGAAGACACTGAAAGTGAAATCTGGAACTCAAATAATTGATAGGGTTTGGAGCTTTCTTAAGGATCGCATCGCAATGAACCAGCACTGCAAAGCAGGATCGTCGTTGTTGCGAGGCAAACTCCGCTCGGCGCAGTACGAGTATTGGTTCAAGAACCAAGACCTCTGGCTCGCCTGCGGTGACTTGTGCACAGAGAACCTGCGCAAGTTTTATAAGTAAACACAGACCCGCGTCGCGACATCGCTTGAAAACGCTCGCCTTTGCTAGTGTCGTCGGTTTATTGCTGGAAAACTTATTTGTCACATGCGTGTTTGTTGTTTTTGTGTTCTGTATCTGTTCTATATCATGAACAAAACGAATATTAATTAAGGGTGATCATGTTACAGATGATAATGATGGTGATGATGTGTGGAATTCGTCGATGCTATGACTATCGAGTATCCGTTGTGCGTTTAGTATAACCGGATTAGTCATATAGTGTTCGCATGCATGCTTATGTCGTCGCTCTGCGTATACATGTCTTTCCATTCAAGCACAAATCTAATGTCATAGTCGTGCAGTTTTCCGGCACAAGACGGTTGTCGAGACCACTTCTCCCAAGCAATGTCGGCGCCCTTCGTTCGCAAACTGCCTACGGACGTGGCAACACGCATCTTCAAGTTTGGCGAGCGACCGTTGGGGCCGATCCCAACCGCACCCACTAAGTGGGAAAAGCGCGTTGGTACCCTGCCGAACGGCCGCCCGTCAAACCACTGCAACGTATATTTTCAGTTTTGCATGTTGAAGTGTGTGTCGCACACGACAGTATTTACCGAAAAA